CCATAAGATCACCAAAAGCAAGTTGCTCCTTGAAAAATACTCAAGAAAACTCACACCCCCAACACACGCAAATGCAGAAGTTCACATACAAACACGGATATCGTGTCAGGTCAATAAGTGACAGAAACTTGCTTTAGGATGGTCATACCAGATTGCTATTTCACTTTCCTAATTAAACTTTTGCCCCCCCCCCCCCCCCCCGCCCCGTCTTCCTTTGCAAGGAGATGCCAACACTACCTTCTTCTGTTCGCCTACTCCCTTTTTTCTCCCCACCTCATTTCCACTCATCTTTAAAGTGATCTTGTTCATTCTGTGTAATCACTGTCCCACACAAGAATGTCCCATGGCATCCAATACTTGGAACCTGTCCGTACTAACACCTGAATAACTATTTGAGACTTTCTGGCTAGTTTTTCCCCATTTGTTTCCTTAGCCTGCTCCCAACCAGGTGTCTCCCAAACTTCTTCCCGCCTCCATTATCAAGTACTTTCTGAAGCACCAAGTCTGTAACAGGAATGCCGCGGGCAGTGTGGTGAGGAAACCTGAAGATATGGGAAATTGAGCTAAGGCAGCTAGCCGGGGCACCAGCCCGACAAGTGGGATGCTCCTGGACACCCCCAAGAGAGCACTAAATCGGAATTTGTGATGGGACCGAGAACGCGGAAGCAAGCAACCACCTACTCGGCCCCCTGAAAACCTGGAAAGTGGATTTCCTCCACGATCCCTCCCGGAAACTCCTCGGGGCGCTTGCGGCCCCTTTCACTGAGCATGTGCAGGCGGCGTTGCGCATGCTCTATCGAGCTCCGGTTCGGTTTCTGTTGCGGGACCCGCGGTGTTTCCTAGCGCAACCGGAACTGTCCATCGCGGGCCCGGCCTCCTTCAGCTCCCGCGGTCTTGTAGTCGTCTCCGAGCCTCCGCGTCCCTCCTTCCCTCTTCACCCCCTCAGCTCGGCTGCCCTTTCCCCGAAACAGCCGTCATGAGCGTGAGGCTGCCGGCGTTGTCTCCACCTCGGTGGTCGGGGCTGTTGCTGCTGTTGCTGCTGCTGGGGGCGGCCCCAGGCCCGCGTCCGGGCGCCGCCTTCTACCTGCCCGGCCTGGCGCCCGTCAACTTCTGCGACGAAGAAAAGAAGAGCGACGAGTGCAAGGTGGGTGAGGCCTGGCGGACCTTGAGTGCTCTGACCGAAGGGGAGGTCACCCTTACCCGGGGAGCTGGGTTCCGAGGGAAGGGGGCGTAGCTGGGAGGGGGGGTCAAGTGTCCCGAGAAGCGCTTGGGGTCGCCCCGGCCCTAGGTCGGAGGTTCTGGAACGGCCTTTTGGGGGATAGATTCTGCGGGACTCCGTGGGCCTCAGGCTCGCCTCCCGTCTAGAGAACCAGGTAGCGCGAGCCGCTGTATTCCGTTTGCCTGGAAACGGGGACTATGTATGTATGGCGCTCCCTGTGAGTTGGGTGCTTGCGGGTCAGCAAGCGTTCCACGAATGAGTGTTCGCTCACAGCCCTATGTCCAGGTTTTCCACTTACTTTTTATTTCATTGCTTCCGGTTTTATTCTACTTTCCTGGAACTCCTGGTTGGTTTTGAGAGCTTGTTTCTTTCTGAGACTTTGATATTTTAACTTCACGCTTAGCAGATGATTCGTTACTTGTGAATTGTAACAACTGCATTAATAAAGAGTTGCGGTAATGGTTGAGACCGATAATTTCTATCTCTTAAGTTAAAAAACATTTTTTAGTATAAAACAATTTGTAAGATCCCACTATTTAGTTTCTCTGAGATTGTTTTAAACACTTCACAGAAGCAGAGGACAGGAGAAACTGGTGTTTTCTTCCTAGGGCAAAATCTTGAAAACTTTGATCTCTTACGACGTTTACTCTAGGTTTTCAGTTTAACTGGTAGTGAAAGAGGCATAAGTAACTTCCTTTTAGATTATTCGGTATAGAGCATGACAGTATATATACATAACACAATTATTTTAAGTTGCTAACACCATTGGGGCATGAGGATCTCTAAAACCATTTATAATTTTAACAATTCAAATAATCATTCAGCAAACTTTTACAGTCTATAAATAGGTTTATTTACTAAGTTTGATTTTATTTTTAAAAGCTGGTGTTTATTTTATTACTACTAGTTTTACTGTAGCTGTGAATTTCAAGCTTATTTTAGGGCATTAAATAAGCTATTAAGTTTTTCATAGCATTTTACAGTTTCAGTTTTAAAATCTTGTGTCTCTAAAAATGTCTAAGGATCTTTAATGTTTATTCAAGTTGACAGTTACCACTTGCATTCTGTAACTTTCATGCCCTGCAGTGCAAGAGGCTTTCACTCTTTGGAGTAATGACTGAAAGAATATATATAGTGCTTACGAGTGGAAAAGAGAACTAGTCTTGAAAGCACACTGGTTTTTCCATTAAATATTTTAGTAACCAACCTTTAAAACCTAGTGTTTGGTCTTTAAATTTAAATTTAACAGCAATCCTATATTGTATTCCTAGTGCCTTAGAGACAAAAAATGTATCCCTGTCTTCTAGGGACCTCAAAGTAAAGGGCATAAGCTTATGAACAGATTATTGAAATCTGATATTACAAAAGATGTATGTCCAAAGTGCTTTAAAACACAAATGACGAAACATCTGTGGATTGGAGTCTTTAGGGAGGAAGTGACATTTGAGATGGACTTCAGAAAATGAATATGACTGAAATTTACAGTTGGTTTGCCACTTAGATTTTTGTTTTCTCAATAGGACCTTCTTAGGTCCTACTTTTAGGACCTTAGTACTTAAAAGTAGCTACTTTTAAGTTAACTTTTGATTAATTTCAGGGAGTCCTTTGGGATTTTTAATTTTCAAAGCTACAGGGATAAAACAAGTCAAAACAAAAAAATTTTTTTTTTTTCTGAAGCGTTTGGATTTCGTCTTTGTTGCCAGCTGCTCTCACATCTTGGTCAAAGGAAACTATTCTTAAGAGAGCAGAAAGATGTACCTTTTGCACTTTTTTTCCTACAATTTGACTAACTGGGATGGAGAATTTGAAGTAAACTTCAGTATATCTTCTTGTTGCCTCTCAAAGAAGAAAAACAGTAAATAATTCAAATTTTCATTACTTCATTCAGGGTATTTACAGTTTTTTTCTCATCTAGTCCATATTTAAAGAGGACAGTCACGTATATACTGTTGAGAAAAGCTGAAGGGAATTTTGGGGGGTGTGGGGGGAGAGTGCAAGTGGGGAAGGAGCAGAGAGAGGGGACAGAGATCCAAAGTGGGCTCTGTGCTGACAGGCTGACAGCAGTGAGCCTGATGTGGGGCTCGAACTCATGAGCCGGGAGATCATGACCTGAGCTGAAGTTGGATGCTCAACCCAGTGAGCCAACCAGGTGCCCTGGGAATTATTTTTAAAATAAATAATGAAAAGTAAAATGTTGTGGATGGGAAAAATTATTTTCAGAAGATGCTGTTAGAATAGGGAATCAGGAGTTAGATGAATTGGGTAGGACACTGATACTGTTCCTATCATTTTTTTCCATCTGTAGAATAGGGATAATCTTATTTGATTATTATATATTTCCCTTGAAAAGTATTTTACATTTGTTTGAGAAAACACATATTTATTAGTTGGGATATTATAAAATGTTTATACATATAGAGATGAAACAAGTATATCTTTAGCATATGTAATTTTTGTAGTGTAGTCATATTTACAGTGTCCTCCATTCAGCTCACTATGTACATTATTGAGAGACATTCAAAAGAACCCTGAGGATTTGGTCATTTTCTTCTCCCAAAATTATTTTATATTCAATTTACTGGCAGAAATAGGAGTCCAGTGAACATAAAATTCTATTTATGATGCTCTAACTTCTGATTTATGATCTTTATAAGCCATCGTAAATACTGTGACTGTGTTCTGGTGGGTTCCTTTTTTTTTTTTTTAACTTACTATGATTATACATATGTACATTTGAATATCAACATAGTACACATTCTTACTGGTTTTTATTGACCATATAGTATTTTATTCTATTACTGTGCTGTGGTTTGTTTAACCATTTCTTGCCTGTAGGGCATTGAGATTGGTCCCAATTTTTTTCCTTATAAATAACTTTGCTAGAGTATATTTAGCAGGAATTACTTGCATATTCCCAAAAATAAAATTACTAGGTCAAAGGCAAGAAGCAATTTTATAGCTCTATTTAATATTGCCAGATTTCTTTCAAAAAAGATAGGTTTGATTTATATGCCTTTAGCTAAATGATTCCCTGGATCTCCACAATATTTTATCATTTTTATTTATCATTTTATTAACTATATGATGGTACTGAAAGCATTTTTTTTAGTATTTATTAGAGAGAGAGAGAGCACAAGCAGTGTAGAGGCAGAGGGAGAGAATCCCAGGGAGGCTCCGTGTTGTCAGCTCAAAGCCTGACTTTGGGGCTTGATCCCACAAACCCTGAGATCATGACCTGGGCTGAATTTGAGTCGGATTCTCAACTGACTTAGCCACCCAGGCACCCTGGTACTGGAAACATTTTTATTTTTTAATTTTTTTAATTTTTTAACATTTATTTTTGAGAGAGAGAGAGACAGACAGAGACAGTGTGAGAGGGGGAGGGGCAGAGAGAGAGAGGAAACACAGAATCTGAAGCAGCTCCAGGTTCTGAGCTGTCAGCACAGAGCCCGACATGGGGCTCGAACCCATGAACCGTGAGATCATAACCTGAGCCGAAGTCGGAAGCTCAACTGACTGAGCCACCCAGGAGCTCTGGTACCAAAAACATTTTTTTTTGTAAATTGTTTTTAACGTTTACTTATTTTTGAGAGAGAGACAGAGACAGAGACAGAGACAGAGACAGAGCACAAGCAGGGGAGAGGCAGAGAGGGAGGGAGACACAGAATCCAAAGCAGGCCCCAGGCTCTGAGCTGTCAGCATGGAGCCTGAAGCAGAGCTCAAACCCACAAACTGTGAGATCATGACCTGAACTGAACGCTTGGCTGACCGAGCCACACAAGCACCCCCCGAAAACATTTTTAATGCTGTATTGCTTTCATTGCTATTAAGTTTTCTCTCTTTTTTCTTTTGTCTTTTGTTGTTAGCTTTTGAAACCATAGTAATAAAGGCTTAAACTGTGGTAATCTTGTCCTCTGGAATCCATTTTACTTTCTTAAAATCAAAGGACACTATTGACTACCATAAATAGAATAAAGCCCTGACCAGAAATTAATAGATCTGCACAGAGTAAAATGTGCAGTTCTAATCTACTTTGCAAAAGTTTGGATCATCTCTGTTAGCTGCTGCATCCTATTTAGCTTTAGATTGAGTCTTCAGTGTGCTGAGCGGCTCTCTGATGGCTAATAGCTGATTAGTGAGCAGTTCACGCTGCATTTAACTTCCAATTAATTGTTGGCTTGTCAACATGAAATCAGATGGAATAACTAAACTCTCCAAAACATCTGCCACTTTTTTACTGTTTATGGATTGTGTTCTTAGATGAAAGATTAAGATTTTCTTTCCTGTCCGGTAAGGAAAAATCACCAAATATACCCCATGGTATAAAAAAAAAAAAAAAAAAGAATGTTCAAGTTAATTAGTTTAACAACTTTTTGATAAAAATGAAACAATAAGAATCATAAGTTCTTTAAATTGAAGTATAGTTGACACACAATGTTAACATTAGTTTCAGGTGTGCAACAAAGTAATTAGACAAGTCTACAACTCTTACCATACAGCACTATTACAATACCACTGACTGTGTTCCCTATGGTGTACCTTTCATCCCTGTGACGTACCCATTCCATCTCATGCCATAACTGGAAGCCTGCACCTGCAACTCCATCCATTTTGCCTAACACTACATCCCCTTCCCCTCTGGCAACCACCAGTTTGTTCTTTGTATTTATGGATCTGTTTCTGCTTTTTTGTTGTTTATTCCTTTATTTTTCAGGTTCCATATATGAGTGAAATCATCAGTATTTGTCTTTCTTTATCTGACTTATTTCACTTAGTTATAATACCCTCTAAGTTCGTCCATGTTATTCCAGATGGCAAGATCTCATTCTTTTTTATGGCTAAGTAATATTCTGTGTGTGTGTGTGTGTGTGTGTGTTTGTGTGTGTGTGTGTGTGTGTACACCGTATTTTCTTTATCCATTCATGTATAGATGGGGACTTAGGTTGCTTCCATATCTTGGCTATTGTAAATAATGCTACAGTAACCATCGGGTGCATATATATTTTCAAATTAATGTTTTTGGTTGTTGTTTTTGTTTTTGTTTTTAAGGTAAATGCCCAGTAGTGGAATTACTGGATTGTATGGTATTTCTATTTTTAATTTTTTGAGGAACCTCCATCCTGTTTTCCACACTTCCACTGTTCCATCAGCAGTGCACAAGTGTTCCTTTTCCTCCACATCCTTGCCATCGTTTGTTGTTTCTTGTCTTTTTGATTTTAGCCATTCTGACAAGCGTGAGGTGATATCTCATTGTGGTTTTGATTTCATTTCCCTGATTATGAGTCATGTTGAGCATCTTTTCATGTGTCTGTTGGCCATCTGCTTTTTTAATGTTTGTTTATTTTTGAAGGAGAGTGAGAGTAGAGAGAGAGGGACACACAGAATCCAAAGCAGGCTCCAGGCTTTGAACTGTCAGCACA